TTTTATGGGCGCCTTTACACAACATCCGGGTTGCCGTCCGTTCATCAGGTTCCTTATTTCAAGTGATCATGATTAGCATTTTCAGGTGGTTTTCATTTTGCTCACACGGTCAGTCCTTGATCTTCTACCATCTGAATCGCTCTGGCTTTTAATTTTTTCTAAGTGATGACTGTTACCGATCAAGAAAATTTTCGATTCATTTGCCATAACCAGGTAACCATGCTTTCACAATCATTTCTCTACGGCTAAAGATTTAAATCTAAGCTATTTGGGTTGCCGAACATTCGAGTCAAATGTTCTTTTCGTAGCCCCTTGTCTTCGCCGTTGTCGGTACCCCTTCTGGGTTATTTACTGTGTTTGTTGTTGCAATGAGACCACCTGTGAGTGCCCTAGATTGCAGCTCAAAAAAACATCGGAGCTGTTTACAAACCATCCTCTAATCAGGACAGATTGGTGCAAGCTATGCGATATCTATTCAGAGTCTTTCCGCCTACTTCTTTGTCTAGAACACTCGTCACCTCTCTGTTCATGTTCAGCATGTCTACCGATCGGAATTGTTCGACAATTGTTTCCTACTTTACTGTCTAAACACTTGTTTCTACTCATGCAGGTTCTCTCCGGACATCGCTTCGAGGCGCGGTCTAAACGCCGCTGAGCTCTCGGCCGTTGAGGCTATTCACCGGGCAGTGGAATTCAATCCCCACGTGCCCAAGGTATTTCTTTTGGGTTTACGTGCGCGCCTGCACACGCCGTCATCTTCTTGTCTCCATTTTCTTTCTCTTGTCTACCAAATACAAATTGAGTGCATCAGCAGCCATCCTGTTGGTGCTTACTTTGAGCCCATCCCAGGAGTTAGCATTGCCAGTAAATACAGCTGCAGGCCTGCTGTTTGCGGTACCGACTTTTTGATCTGGTGGAAGTTTTGTGCAAAAACAGTATTTGGAAATTTATAAAATCTTGGCTTTGTGTAATTGAATTTGGGCGGTAAGTGTTCATCCTTTAGGCAGCCTTTGTGTCTAGAAAAATGGAAGCAAACCTTGTGTTATGTAGGTGACCCTGTGCTAAATTGCAGAAAGGGTAGTTACTGCCCCGTGCTAACCCTTAACCCTAATTCTAACCTCCCTGAACTTTGGTAAAAGGCCACGTGGGTTATAGAGATTTCCATTCCCGCGTTTAACCATAAATTATTTCTACCATGCGTAGCCCAACCTTGCTGTTAAGCGATCTGCACTAAGGTTCCGCTGCTATAACAGAAATCGAAAATTTTGGGAGAAGAGTGTCCTGTAGCCGAAATTATTCGTAGTCATGCTTCAACAATACGGTTCATCGTCTCAGTGTCCTAACTTTACCTTTTGTGGGATTATGCCTCGCTTGGAACCTCCATAACTGCAACGGAGTTGTGTTCAGCATCTGGCCTGTTACTGTTGCTAGTCTGAATCTGGTAAACGCACATCGCAGGGAGCAGGCAGAATCCACACTGCACGGCTTGTCCCCCTTTGGTAAAGATGAAGGAGCTCCATTTCCCTTCTTACATCTTCCACTCACCCTCCCCCCATCCC